CACACGACCGGTTTCGCGGTTCTTGCCGCTCGTCAGGCATGCGTATCCGGTAATCTTTTGTCCAGTCATTCATATGCTACTCATTATCAAATATTCTACAAAGACGATCTGGTCACGTTTGCTGCTGTTAGTAGCATCTAACCCACTTACAAAACCATTGAATGATATCATTGATTCTTCAATGGACTGGCTCTGAAAGAGCTATTTATCCAATAGTCATCAAGTGTTGCAAACAAGGTTATTGTGACGAAAATACACTTTCTGGGTACAAGTATATAAATAAACTGACAAAAGATTACCGGATACGCATGCCTGACGAGCGGCGAGAACCGTGAAACCGGTCGTGTGCTTCCAGGGAAATTTTGTCCAGTCATTCATATACTAATTGTTATCAAATATATTTATATTGGGTGTGAATCGGACGATACAATAATAATACACATACACATACATCTTTCATACAATGGGTCTAAAGTTCAAACTCCAAATAAACCGGTAAATTTGCACCATTCTTTAATGAGAGCGAAACTCAAGTCCAGTGTCTTCTGCGTGTACGAATCACTTGTGAATCTGCGGATTGTGCAAACTAAGAGTGAAACCAGTCGCATGTCGTTGGAATAGTCTGGGCGCATTGAAGGCCGCCGAATTGCTCATATTGTACATTAACGGAAACATTTTCCAACTCTTCCCAGTCGATTACAAGCTCTACAATTATTCTGTGCTTCGTGGTTCTTGGTTTCCTTGATCCGAGGCTCTGAATTCGTATGTGCTCCCAACCGAACACTGTTAACACTTGATTTTTGTGTAATTCTGGATCAATGTGAATGCATCATATTCGTCGTGGTTGAAAAAGTTGATAATATTCGTGTTCTCTCTCTTGCCGCAACCGATCATATGTATCCGAGAGACCCGTAGATTCTCCTGGATAAGAGGCAACGAAAAATATTGTCCTATTCATCGTTTCAAATCCAACATCTTCCAGAAATTTGCTCTTGGTCCGCAGCCTCGTTGCGTCTCAAGTGGTTACTATCTGACCGATCGCAGCACAGCTTACGTCACATGACTGTTAAACGCGGGTGACTAGCATTCCTAGCAGATGGATAAACAACACAACTTACTTGCCGGGTTCGCATAGCTTTTTAAAACCGGCGTTCCGGAGAAATTGCTTACGTTGTTCAGATCTGTGCCGTTCTCGTGTTTGTCGGCTTGTCACAAGAAGCGACGCTAGCGTAGTTGTTTCTTTACTTGAAGGCAGGCCAAAACTCAGCTATAAACCATCTTGGCGTCATTCCAAGCGTTACAATAGTTATGTGATATGTTGATGAAACGTTTTTTTTCGGTCGCAGCTGTTTGCAAAACTGCCAATCAGAGCTAACTGACCCAACAGGGTGAACTGTCAATAAGACATACTGTAAGTGTAAACCCCTGGAATGACCATGACCAAACGAATCTAGGTATACAAAATTGGGCCGTACGCATGGGCTCTAACGGTGGGTCCCATACGGTTTTAAGCATGTCTGCTATAATGAATCCTGATAACGATCGTCATTTAAACAGAATTCGACATCGTAATGCACCTGTGTTCAGTAGTCTTCCATTACGATCAGGTCTGGTTGGTAGCTGGCGATTGAATACGAGGTGCACTATTCTTTATGCGAGGTCCAGCCTCTAGTTGCATGGTGTTGGTTCTCCGGGGGTTGGAGCGTCTCAGCAACCACATCACTTCATTCTTTGATCTGGCTACTTTCTCCTATTTATTCATACTTATTAAATATGTTGTTAAACGCAGCTGCATACTCTTTGGATTCGAATATTACAAACCAATTTACACAAGCATTGCGTCCCAAGCTAATAGGTGAAACTGTCTCAAATCCAAGAGAATGTTTGCACCACACGCACACACCTTTTCGGATCTAGTTAGCACTATCGGCACTTGGTTCAACTTCCTTTCGATAAAATCCTTTCTAATTTTGGATCTGATCATATTTTTTGAAAGTATTCTGCTAGTATTGTTGTGTATTGTTTTTCCGACTTGTATGTCCTGTCCAGTTGATCATGAAACCACTAAAACAATGATTTGTACAAATCAGACCCAGTCATATCTGTTATCCTCTGTCGTCTGTGCAACTGTCCCAACTCAGATATGGTAACCTGATCGATGCGATACGGACGGTTTGTCGAGAGGAAGGAATTCGCACCTTGTATCGTGGCGTTCAGGCCGCGACTCTCGGGAGCATTCCATACGCGGGCACTGCATTCCTCACATTCGAAACTCTGAAGGAGTATCGGCTAAGTGAGTTGCATTAGTTTCTGCTCATGAATCAACCAATCTCGTGCTCTCCCATTTGGTCAAATCTGCTTTAAGGTTATTCTTGATATCGAGTTTGGTTCGTCTAATGACAAAATCTGATCGTGGTTTTCTTGTGACCAACAAAACTTCGTGTCTTATCCGTGGGGTTTTTAGAATCACCATTCTGTTTAGTGTGTGCACGAAACCGCAGGGACTTCTGCGCACAGTTTTTTCTCAGGCCACTCCAAATCCAATCGCTGTGTGTTGTGGTGGTGGTTTGATGGCGCCCACGACAAGCCCCACCTCACCCATCCCACTCTAATGAACGTGGTAAAACGATCCGCATCACCTTCTCGACAATCAAATACTAACCGAATGATCTTCAAATCGAACATACGTAGCGAATAAATTATTGCTTATTTCGCTAGCCCCACAGTGGAAGGGTGCGAGTGTTGTGAGGNTCGCATTTTTGAGTAGCATGTTTGTATTTCGCAAAATAATTTCACCGGCGGTTTCTCGGAATTATGATTGACCCGTTCCAGATGAGACGTTTCGTTCTGGGTAATCCACTTTGTCGTTACCCAATAACCAATACTACAATAACCAACTCTCCTCATGCCGGTGATGTCTTGTGGAATTATAACACGAGTAACGTTCATGTAAATCTACGTCCCTTCATTGTCTTATCTTTGGACACATGGATCAGCTCACCTCATTCTGACTTAGGATTTCTCCACTTCGCGCTTATCACACAACCGGATGGGATTAATTTTTTCTGTTCATTGTTCACGTTATTAAGTTGAATCGACTCCGGTGATGCAACCATCAAGTTTTTTTCCCTTATAAGCACCGAGTCCTAACTAAATCCAATGCCCTCCCATCTAGTGTTATGCCCCTAAGAGTTTTTGACGCACTGTATCCACATACTGTAAAGTTGATTATCTACTTGTATTCAAAAATGATCTCTCAAACAAGGTACTACATGCAAACGGGTATCCAGTTGCATTCACCGCCAGACATTGTAGAGCAACATCAAACGTATAAAAATCAAGACCCCTGAATTGAGCCTTATTTAAAGTTGTCAGTCAAAGCTAATGACATAAATCGGTTTCTTATCAAGTGATTGAACTCTGCCGTCAATCACGTTTACAACACAGTCGTCCCGGTCACCATCTTCATTAACACCTGGATACCAGCGACATCTATGAAAGAACCATTGTTCTCTCCGTCAAATCAAACTACACTTCACTTGTTGGGGCTCGGTAGTCTGCCTAGGCAAGACACAAAGCCAGTTACTTCACCGAGTTACCGAACACTCCCTGGTTCCGTTTTCAAACAGAGGTGGACGATGTGGCGCAGTGTTTTAGTTACTATCACCGGCGTGCTTTGAATCCTACGGACCGAGGTTCGAAACCCCGAGACCGCCACTCAACTTTGGTGGTACGCAGCTTTGCTGTCGTCCGATTCAATACCACGCCTAACCCAGCGGGGCCTTATGTGGTTCGCCACTCTAAACCCCGAGGCTTAGGTTACCGGTTTCCATATCTAAACGGCAGGTCCTCGTGACTATGGGCTCTACCCCGTCCGTTGTTCGTCATACTAAGGAGTAATAAAAAATTTAAAAAACAAACGAGGGGTTGGGGTGGAACATTCCAGTTAACTTCCGTTTCTCTCGCAATCGGTGTGTTCGCTGAACGTGAATTTAAAAAAATCTCATCTATCTAACGAATAGGCTGCCTGCTCCAGGTTGATCATAATCCTGTCGGGTCCTGGTGTATGTGATCTGCCCTCAGTTTAAATTCGTGCAGCCAGTGTATGTGTCTTCGAAACCAATAAATCCGTATCACATCTGTAAACAGGAATATAACCAGTAAACTCCGTCTCTCTCTCTCTCGCCTTCATAAACCTATGCAAAATCCTGATTCACTGTCATAGTGCAAATAAGCGTGACTGTCCACATCGCAATATGACCTTGAATCTGGTACGGTTCGAAGTTAACGGTTTTCCGTTTTCCAGATCAGCTCCAAAGTGGGCGTGTTTTTCTGATTCATCGAATGTGTGATCAGGATTACATTAAACGCGGTCTATGGTTCACACCAGCCCATATACGAGCGACATTTTTCATAGTGTCTAAGCCACAAGACAGGTAGGGTTTTCCACGTCTATTAAAAAAATCAAAGCTGTCTTATTTTCAAGGCTACGTTTCTGACTGACGTGTGTGTGTGCATCGTGGGTCACGTAGACACTAATTTGATGGTGGTAAATCGAGCCATCGCATCCGATCGCCCAGGATTAACAACCGCTCGTGCTTTTTATGAGTTCCTGTACTTCACCCAACGTTCAGCGTGCAAACTATCATGCTCTTTACTGGCAAGGCGCATAGTTTTTCCCAGACAGATCTGGTCCTTGATGAGTCAATAAAATTTAAAATAAAAAATAAATTTAAAACTGCAATATTTGTTGGTAGGACTGAAATAAATGATGCAATTTTCTCATCAATCATAGTGCGTACCGAGAGTTCTACTCCAGACTAATGCATGATTGGTCTTCGTTTTGGAGCTGTTTCTCCTTGTGTTAGTCATCTTTGATGGTTTACTCAGAAAGCCTCAGTCAGTATGGTTGGGTGTGGGTACCTAGGGCGATGGCTAGTCATCCTTTCCTCGCACATCGCTAGATGCTCCAATTCGACCAGGTGTCTCTAATAGTCTCTGCTGAGGAAGCCCTACTCACTGCTTTCACGTGGCGGAGGTGTTTTCCCACCAACGTGAGAGGACTAAAAACCAAAATCCGGGGCTATAACCGGGTCGGTGATCTGGTAGTGGTGGGACGTTCTAGAGACTGATGTTATCAGATGCAGTTCATTCTAACTTTTCAGCAATTGCGTTCTATTTGAGACAACGTATCGCACTCTAACCTTCGCTGCGTCGTGTGTTTGGAACGCCCACTGAAGCACATGGACAGCTTGGCGCAAACTAATGCGTGATCGAAATCGAGGGGAGTGCTCCAGGATGATCGGCAGTCTTGTATGCAACCCCGCCATTTGCGCCCCGGATCGCTTTACGCAAGAGATACTATAGCTTTTGGTAGAAGGTATCTTTAACTGTATCTGGGCTACAGTTAGTTGGTGCGTACGCTGAGACGATAGATAAGTTACCTCTTTCGAAGCGACGAATTCTTATTATGTACGAACTCCTAATTCTCACTGTGCATAACCAATTATCGACTGAGATCCAATTTGGGAGCGTGGCTTCAGCTCGCCAGCGAAACCAGAAGCCGCAGCCTCAGGGTCACCCGAAAGACGTAAGTTAGACTTCGTGGATGGGTTTGATGGGGACGTGAATCGGATGGTGGAGTATCTTGGACACAACACACTTTCGAACATGTATAGACACAACACAGCGTGATCATCCGTAGAGTAAGTACTCATACAGTTATTGTGATGATTGATGTTGAGGACTGTCTCCGGATGGACCAATCAAAAATGAGTCAAACTAATGTGTCTGTTTCACAATCTTACTGGCCTTAGGCCAGGGCAGCAGTAGGGTCTTGACAAATTGTTTTTGCGAACACTGTATTGGTTGGTTTAGCCTGATCGCGGTCGCTTCGGCTGTGCACAGAATTTTTTGCCTCACCCCTTTTGATCGGTTGTATTCTACCCGGTAGGTGACCTTACGTGTCAGTTCGTGATCCGTGTCGAGTGCGTGGGCTAGGATGGCACTAGTCGCAGTTTTATTGATCCTCAAAATCAATCGTCATAATAACTGCATGAGTACTTACACTACGGATGATCACACTATGTGTTGTGTCTATACATGTTCGATTGTGTGTATTGTATTGGCCTGATGAGACGTGCCGAAAAAACAGATCTGTCTTTGCCACTTCTCTGACAGAAAAAAAAATGGGAATATTTTGTGATCACAACACACCCTGATGGCTAGGATCTCGAGAGTACGAGTTAAACACGCCTGTGGTCCTATGCACATCAGAGCACGCACGTTAAATATGGCTAGTTTGGAAGAATATCCAGGATGAAGAAGAGCTTCAGCCAGTGAAGAAGGATTCGGTGAGATTTGGACGCTATTTGAGGCAGGACGCGAGAGAATATGGACAGGATTCCCATCTGATGCACTACTGTGCGTACGATCGTCTGAAGACCACGATGAAATTGAAAATATTTGACCGGGAGAGGGAAGGAAAATTGGCAAACAGGGAGATATGTACGGTGTAGAGCAATTTTATCTGAATGGGGAAAGCAAATTCTTCAATAAAAGAAATTCTATATTGTATTTTGTGCGCGTTAAACCGATTCCTTCATAGTTTTTGAAGCGAACTGTTGATTTCGTCTGATCATTAAGGAGCACCTGTCGTACGTTGTTTCATCGAATTTTCTAGGCCTTTATCACTTACAACCTCATTTGACCAGCGTGTCGAACGGTTTGCTGGGCCTTGATCATCGAGGCTTCTTCCAGCCATAGGTACGAGTTGGATAATTGATGGAGACGAGAGAAAGAGAATCTTAGTGCAACAATTCTTCCAACCGTTTTATCTCACCAATCATCAATTTTGCTCCATACTTGGCTAGTGAAGCTCGAATCCTAGTCGTTTGTTATTAATTAGAAGTAATTTTAACCACACAATGGACACTCAATTCACGACGTACTGCCAAGTGCTCTGTGTACGTGACTGGGTGTGGGTACACTTTCGCTTTGCACCGAAATCGACTGTCAGTCACCTACCCCGTCTGTGTCTCTCTCGTTAGGTGGGGTTGAATACCGGCGCTTGTCACTATTAGTCAGATTTATCGGCGCTTTGCAAGTTAGTTGGCTGGTTGGCTGGCTAGCAGTTCACTTTGAACAAGCACTGGTATGTAATACATATTACGATTTCACGCACGATATTACTGCAACTCAAAACTAAAATTGGCTTACTTTCTCTCTCCTTACAAGAGAGGGAAATGATTCAACTCTGCAATC